GACGACCTTGCAAACTGGATAAAGGAGCAACGAGGAAAGGGAATGGCAATTTCGACTGTAAAAATTCGCTTACAAGCAAAATTTATAGCAAAACGAATGAACATAAATGATTTCAAAGGAGGGCGTTGCTGGTGTAGCAGATTTATGAAAAGAAAAAATATTTCTGTACGTACTAGAACAACAGTCGGGCATCAATTACCAATGGACTGGCAGGATAAAAAGTCATCTTTTCTAAAATATGTAACAGCTATTATTGACAAAAAAAAAAAAAAACTTCTTCCGGTCGCAGATAATAAATATGGATGATGAAACGCCTGTTAGCTTTCGACTCTCCTGCAAACAGAACTGTTGATGGAACTGGTGCAAAAACTGTATCTATGTTTATGACGGGGCATGAAAGAACGTCATTTACATGTGTGTTAGCTTGTGCTGCAAACGGTGACAAGCTAAAGCCGGTGATCATTTTTAAACGAAAGACTATTCGAAAGGGAGATGGTATGTCATATATCAGCACTTATGTTGAGTTTTTGCATCTATACGGCCCACAACGATGTCACGCACAATTTAATCTATTGCGGCGTTTCTGTGTAATTTTAATTTTTTCCCCACCATTTTTCTCGAGTGCGGCATTTATGCTGATGCGGCCTTTCTTCCGGAAATTAGGGTGACAGTCACAGGTATTTATTTGAATTTGAAGTTAATGAAAAATAAAAATCCTTAAATAGAAAAGCTTAATTTTTGCAAAAAACATATGAAATGAACAGTAGAAATTTATTGAAAATAATCCATTACATGTTTGAAAGTCTGCATTGCAGGCATTTGTTTCCATGTGGATATTAAAGTGACTGATGGTCTTTCTTCATTATCACCAACAGTTATCATGATTTTTTTTTTTTTAATTGGGAGATGTATTTTAAGGCATCTATGTAGATTTTTATGTCACACTTTTCATCTGGCTCTCTATCTTTTTCACTACTTTCCAAGCTATTTTTGTTAAATCTTATCATCAGTTACTGTTGAAATAAGAGAGTTTATATTGTAATTGGTATGTTCAGTACACAAGGTTTCATCAATTTATAAATATTCTTGCATTTGAACACAGCAATTGATTTTGTTAAGTTCTTTTTCATCAGTATATTTTCACTGATTGCATGGCAAAGTGGAATTGCTTTATTGAAACAGTGCTGAACACAACATTGTGGTATGGATTTAACACCCTTTGGTATCCACGGAATGACATTCAATAATACATTAACACATTTTGCAAGCTCATTGCTGTTGACGAAGAATATGCCATAAAAACATTTTTCTGTAATGAACCGTGAATAATATCCCTTAATCCAAAATCTGTAATACTGATGTTGTATTAAGTGGGAAAAACACTAATTTCATTGGCTTCAGTTTTAGATTTAGTGGGTAAGCTGGCGAATTGTCAAGAAAATAGGCTCAATCAACCATTCTGACATTATGCTTTTCCTCATCTGTGACTTTTTATTGTGATGCCAGTGGATCGATAAATATTTTCGATTGATGTGTTTGAAGCATCCTGATTGTTTTAGCTGTGCCAATTGCAAGTGTTTGCCCAAACTCTCATTTTATGTTTTGACAAACACAGTGAGACATTCCTTGGAGCTTTTACCACCAGAGTACTTTTATCCTTTGAAGTATAGAGTTTTGTTAGAAAATTCTATAAAATAATCCAGTTTCATCTGCTTTGTGGATGTTTTTAGTTTCATATCCTTCACCAATTTTATTCAGCCTTTTTTATCCAATCTGTTACATGTTGCATATCTACTGACTTTTCTTCACCACACAGTCTTAAAAGTAATGTTATGCCTAACTAACTATTTGATGCTTTGAAGTTCTGGAGGTACATACTTCCCCCAAAATTTTTTTTGCCTTTTCTTACAATAATATTCTGCTTAAGAAACATTGTTTGCTCTTACAGAACAAAACTAGTTGAACACTGCTGTATTTATCAATTTCACATGCTTCAGTTTTGCTAAATTTTATTGTCTTGGGATATTAACTTGAATTAGTAATCCATAATATTTTATTTTTTCTCTTCCTGCAGCACGACTTACTTGGTTTTTACTTATTTAAAATTTCTACCCTAAATCTCTTAAAATAAAGTTTTAAATTTCTGCTTGATAAATTGTATCAACTTTTTGTTTTAATTTTAGCTGTTTCCTCCTTGAAGCTATGCTAGGTAAACATGTAAAAATAAAACACAAGTACAAAACTGCATCTTTTAATCCTCCCCAGTCCTAGCAAGAGATAACAATGATTGAAGTTTTTACTCTTCTTACATTGTGACTTTACTTACATTGTGAGATCTTTGTGCCTTGGCAAGTGGGCAGTCATCTCACCACAGTTTCTTTCTCATTATTTCCTGTTTTTGAGGACAACTTGCTTATACTGTCCCCCCCCCTTACTGGCAGCAAGAATAACTGGATTTTCAATTCTATGAATGTGAAATATTCTTTTGATTGTGCACCACAGCTTACTTTTTCCCAGTTTATTGTTCTCCTTTCGACTACTGAAAAGTAATTTTCAAAAGAGAGGGATTAACTTTTCCATTTTATTATTATCTTGTCATAAAACTATCTTTCACGGAGCACAAATTTAACTTTGAAACCTTGGGAGATTATTGTATATACCCGCGTATAAGGCGACCCCCCACTTCAACATAAAAAATTCGTAGAAAATAAGAAACCCGCATATAAGACGACTCCCCACTTCCGAAATCGATCGAGAAACTTCGAAAATTTTTTTTTTTTAAGTACTACATTTATTCAAAATCGTCTGAGAAAAAAAAGTAAATATATGATAAAAAATACCTTGGTAAATAAACAAAATCAAAATCCTTCAACGTCCGATTCATGGTCAGATTCGTCAAACATTTCATAGAGCTCTTCTGTCGTCATTGGCTCGTCATCATACATATTTTCAGTCTCTAACTCTGTATTGTTACAATCACTACTAGAGCCTTCGTCGTCATTTTCACTTTCAAAAACAGCATCATCTTCCGTGCCGTCTAGTTCGTTGCTAATACAACATTTTTTACATGATTTTATAATCATTTCAACAAAAGTATTTCATGAATGAACAATAACTGTTATAAAGACTTATACGTATGTAAAAACTATCTGCATTTCTCTTTTCTTGGCGTGTTGGCGAAACTTTTTTATTGCTCGATATTGATCGGTTGTTCGGGGTGCCAAAAATTCTTTGGTTTAATCGAAACTTACTCTAGTTAAAGTATGAAACTCTGTGATTAGTTCGTCACATAATTTAAGTCATGAAATTACTTCAAGTAAGTGACTTATTTGATAAGTCGTCCAATTTGAGTGTGGGAAGAAAACAACTGCATTATATAAAGAAACTTTTGAACTTCCTTCAACGTCCTTTAATTAATATTTAACGATTCTTTAAATTTTTTATGGCCCCGCATATAAGTCGACCCCCCCCCACATTGAAGTCTTTTTTTTTGTCGAAAATATCTCAACTTATATGCGGATATATACGGTACTTGCAAAGAGTATTTCTATTTTTATTCATTTCTCTACTTCTGTCTCGTTTTTGAAACTTTTTTAGTATCTCTTAAATAGAATGTCCCATAATGAGAGGTAAGGTCTCTATTCAGAATGACTGGGACTAACAGTATTGTCTTTTAAATAGAAGAGTCCCTTACAAAAAGTGCTACTATGTATCTGGTGGTAATGAAAGTTTTCCACCGAAAAATATTCTTAATAAAGTTAGGGAAAAAAAGGAACTTGAAAGCAGGATGTTTAGTGCAGGTAGTAATCACCACCGAAATCTATAATTTTTCTGCCAACGTTTTTGATAGTTTTTGAAAGCCTTCAGCCCAGAAACTTGGTAGCTGTGACTCCAAAAACATCAATCTGATTTCATACATCCTGAGCAGAATGAAAGATAACATCAGCAAGATGTAGCTGCAAGTGTAAAAAAAGGTAGAAATCTGAAGGAGTGATATTTGGGACTAGATGCAGGGTGTAACAAAAGATCCCATTCAAGTATGTACAGAGTCCAGCTGGTGAATGCAGACACCAGCTGTGGTCTTGCATTATCTTGATGGAACATTATCTTTTTTGCGTTGGAACTCACTTTGACATTATTCCTTGATAGCAATGTCAACACGGACTAGCATCTCGTTGTACACCTTACCGTCAAGGGTTTTACCATTTTCCAAATACCCTTTGTATATAATACCCCGGCAATCTCACCAAATACAAAGCCTGAGCTTAATGTTAGTCAAATTGCACTTCGCGATGTTGCTGGTGGGCTCACCGAAAGCAGCCCAACCCCCTTTTTGGCTTGTGTTGTTGAAGTAAATCCACTTTTCATCACAAGTGACTATCTAGTCCAGAATTTTGTCATTGCATTGATATTCGAGCAAATTAGTGCAGGACCGAATACATCTGGCCTTATCTGCTTTAGTCAGCTCATGCGGTACCCAGCAGTCTTAACTCTGTGCTATGTATGGCATGACTAATGAACATGGCACTGACATCTAACTCTTAAGCAAGCTCTTGAGTGGTTGCATACTGATCTTCTTCCTTAAGTTTTTGCAGCCGGGACTCATCAGTAGACCAACCAGAGCGCTCTGCTCCTTTAATGTCATAGTCCTTGTTTTTGAACTTTTTGAAATTTTTAAAAGTATACATTTTTTATAAATGAATATAGGAAAAATTTAATAAAGTACTTAAACACATATACATACAGAGATAAGAAATGTTACATTAATTTGAGGTAAATCATTTTATGGATTGGGCCACATAATTATTTCTATTGGGGGGTAGTGTATTTTTTCCTTGATTATTCTGCAGCAAGATCTTATTGTGATACACTTAGCACATTCTGCATAGGGGTTAACAATGTCATTAAATTTACTTGAAATCATTTTGAGCTCATATGACACATGTTACATGGAGCTGTTTTTCACTGTTATTTCAACATTTTTTTTTTAATATATGTAGGTACGCTGTGCTTCGGAAGAGTTAGATAATTATGTGTCTAGGGAAATCAATTCATTTTGTGCTGCCCTAAGAAGTCAAGAAGGTCCTTATAGTGGTCAGGTATAATGTCATTTGAATTTTTTTGTTTCTCAATGCACAAATGAGATATTTAATGCAACAATGTGACCATCTTTTCCTGAAATTCAAAACAGCTTTTTTAGTTGAGGTATATAATATGTGATGATACAAATTTTTTTTCTGAGTCATACTAATATTATATTATTAAAATATGTTCCCATCAAAAAGTATCAGTTATTGTTAAAATTACATATAGTTTTTTAATTAATCACTTTATTATACTAATAAGAAATGGATTGCAATAATTTGAAAGGTAAATTAAATCTTACATAATATGAATTTTTCATGTTTTACAGGGATTGGACTTTTAGCAAAACACCTCTTTCAGATGTTAATGTATTTTTTTAAGCTTCCTTGTTTTGCTATTATTATATGTAAAATTTTAGATGTAAATCATCACTGTCACTCCTTTTGCAATGAATATGCTTTGAAATGTCCGGTGTAAAGTTTTATGCCTCTTTTAAAGGTAGAATTAGTTTGTTAGTAATGTAATGCCCAGATTCCTATAGTAAATAGTAGAAGGAGGTTCAGATACATTCAATTTTTGGTTGTTTTTAAACCAGAAAAAGTGTGAATACAAAAGATTCTCTTGATTGTTCCATTACAAACAGGACTGGACAAATAAAGGCAAAAATGTCAAAAAGTGTATTTCATGTCAAATATAAATAAACTTATCATGCATCCAGGATGAGCATGGGCAGTCCTTGTTTTTTAGTGCTTTTTGGGGTTGCAAACATGTCTATGATTTGAGGATTTTTTAAAATTTTAATCCTGTATAGACTTCACATTTTTAAACATTCCCTTACGGTCATGCATCTCTCAGCCGACCTTGGAACAATGCTGTTGATTTTGACGGAGCCATGGCTACTGGTCTCACCACAACTTTTTACTCAGTCATTTGGCAGCACAACAAGGGCAGTGTTGTTCACACATGAAAACACCTCCCACAAAAGGGGTGTGTTTTCGTGTGTGAAGTAACTCATCTACATATTTTTGATTATTTTATCTCTGTTCATTTTTATCTCATCATTTAGCAGTATCCGAAAGAAAGTGTGTGTTTAATGTTAACCTGCAACAGGAATGCAAATTTTGGAAATCATATAATGAGAGTAACAATGAACATGTTTATTACACATTATGTACTGAAGAATTTTCTGTTGCACATAAAAGAATGGTCATATTGAAGACCATGTGAAAAGAGCTAAACAAAGGAGTGCTATTAATGCTACTGCTTCATCAAACATAAGGGATTTTTCTTTAACCCAAAGGCAGGAATAACAATGCAGTGATCTGGAGTGTGCTACTAAAGAAGCTACAATTTGATACTGCACTTCCAGACATGAACTGAGTTTCAAAGCATCAGACTGCACATCTGAACTGGTTAAAAAGTTATATGACTCACAATTTTCATCAGCTAGAATCAAAATTGAGGTAGTATACTTTAACATTATTTCACCATTTATAATTTGTATTTGATAATGTGTTGTTTCCTTGGAAAATATTAATTATATTAACAATAATGATGGGTGAAGTGAAATAAAACTTGTCCCAATTGCTGGGAGATATTTCAATCCAGAGGAGGGAATTCGATTACATTTTAAAATTTTGATGATGTGTCAGATGAAACTGCAGAAGTTTGGAATCAGTTTCTTTTGCAGCATGTGAAAACTACAAACTTGAAGAAAAGTTGTCTTGCTGTACTGCTTATAATGCCAACACTTTAGTAATTGGTTGTTCAGCCCACATTATACACAATTCACTGCAAACAGCATTTAATTCTCTACTTTTCAATGTAGACGTTATTGTTATAAAAGTTCATAAATATTTTCACACATATACAGTTAGAGTAGTGAAACTTAGAGTTTGATAAATTTGTGGAAACCAATTCTAGAAAAGCATTATCTCATAGCACAAGGTTCCTTAGTTTATTACCCACAATAAACAGAAATCTTTCCATTTTTTATGTCTAAAAATAATGTTTTTTATCTTGTGATAAATGCTCAGAGTTATTATTTGACTTTTTATAAAATCCATAAAGCGAATTGATTTTGAAATTTTTATATGGTACTCTACAGTTATTTAATAATGTAGTTCTGAAAGTGGAAGCTAATTCTGTTACAGCAATAGAAGCATTTTAGACATATTCTGAATTAATTTGTCAACTTCGGGAATGAAAAAAGCCACAAATTTATACCATCTTCTGCCGAAGAATTGCTTGATGTTAAGGAACAAAAATTCTTCTCAAGCATAGACAGTTTTTATAATTCTTGTGTCCAGTACTTTAAAGTTGTGGAGTACCAGTTTTGATAAAGTTAGTAAGTTTCATTGGATAAATTTATGAACTGAAAATATCTGCTCTGATGCAGAAGATAGTGCACAAATTGTTGATGAAATTACAAAAGATTCCATAAATATTGATGACCTATTTGATGAATGTTCATTGTCGAACCAGATAATTCAAAATCAAGAGGTAGTATGTGGTTCAGGTTTTGAAAAAGTACCAAGTACTGTTGAAGTGGAAAGCAATTTTTTAGGTCTTTTAAAAGATTGGATATTTCATGTTGCAATGTTTCTGAAATGGTTGAGTTTATGATACCTGTGCCTGGAACATCTGGTCCAGTCGAGAGAGTTTTTTTCAATTATAGAAACAGGGAACATTTGGCCTGTAGAAAGGGTTAAACTTTTAGTGTCTACTATGAAAGATCTGCTAAATATTAAAATTAATTCAGAACTTTCTTCTTATGAATTTTTTGGTGTAATTAAACAAACCATTTCTAAAATATCTTGTCTAGTGAAAAATACAACTGAATAAATAAACTTTAATGTTTCAGTAAACTGTTAAGAGTTTTAAGTAGTTTCAAAAATATGTCCTGGGTTGAATAAAAAAAAAATATGGTAAGCCTAGACTTGTATGAATTATTGTTTGCTAGAGGTAACTTAGAATCCGAATTTTATTTTGCTTCCTTAAAAAGGCAAAATACTTGGAGACTATGAAGTTATCTTTTTGCAAATATTTTGTTCAGAAGGTAAAATTGCTTGCATGCATAACTGAGCAATACATATATATAAACAAGATTAAGAAATTTCAAAATTGGGACAATAATTATAAGCAGCAAAAAGAATTAAATAATCAAAATGTAATAATTAAATCAAAATTGATGGTTAACATTATAATTGGAAGAACGTGCAACAAAATTCGACCCCCCGCCTCCCAAATAAACCTCAATAACGTAATAAAAAGAAAAAGAAAAATAAAAAAAGCAAATAGTTGAAAATTCCTTGGTCTTTTTTAAGGAACAGCAAAAAGTTTTCAACAGAACCACATTCTGTGTTATACCTGGATGGTTATAAATTCATGAAATAAATCAAAAGTAAGTGCAAAATAAAGAACAAATTAAATTAAATTTTTTTTACAATACAAATACAAATGCATTAAAATAAATTAAAAAAAAAATAGTATTTTTAATAAATCATGGTTTAATCTACTTCAACATAACTTAAAACAAATAATACTGTTTAACATTTAAGCAGTATAAAATAAGTATTCTCAAAATTAGAAACCAGATAAACATTTTTTTTATATGCTTTATGAATGCACATTTAATATTTTTTTCATAATAAAACAAGTAGAAAGTCCTGATTCTTAATTTCACTTCAGTGTTAAAATACCTCCATATTGAAGAAATAATCATTTTGTAGCATAAACCCATATGATCAGCAATTTGCTACATAGCTGCCTTTTCGCTTATCATACATCTCAAACCAAAACACACTAAATCAAGACATTTTACAGACAAGTTGATTTTACACCTGCTGAATAATTCATATCCCTGATACTAATCTGGCAAATCATTCTATCTTATTTTTTACTTTAATCGCGGCATGACTATCAACACGTGGCAGCTTGAGAAATGGTTCATGCGGTGATGTCTAAACAGTTTTTAAAAAATGTATTAGTAAGTCAATACCAAAAAGCAAGGCAACTCTTTATGTTGACATTATGCTTGGTGATGATTATAGACTTCAGCTAATGAGTGTGTTGGTGAAGAGAAATTTAAATACAGATTTTGTAAATGTTACTCATAGGCCAATAGATTACATTTTGTATTATTTGAATTGAGGAAACTTATTTGTTATTCAGGTGAGCCCAAGACTTGTGCCTGAGCTGGTGCTGCAACACTGGGTAATAGAATTTGCAGAAGACAAATTTTTTAGGATGTAAAGAAACATTAAGGAACAAAATTAAGCATTGTCATAATTTGATGACTGAAGAGGCACGTGGCAACATAATTTAGGACATGCAGAGACTACACTGGATGCAAATTGTCTAGTTATGGCCCTATGGCCCTGAATAAACCTTAAGTATATGTTGGAATTTATTTATTCAGGAGTCGGATAAGCCATAATCGTGTCTGAAGTACGTGTAAGCAATGCTGATCCTAGACCTTCAGCTGTTCATGTGCAGAATAATATTGGGCACTCTTTTTTTTTATAAACCTTATGTTTTAACTTTTCAAATTAATAATCATTTCGTTGCCCATAAAACTGGTTGCCCTTGTGCTGTGCATAATCTTGCCCCTCAACTAGGATCGGCCGTGGTTCTAAGTATAATAAATAACTAATATAATTCAAGCTTAACCTTGTCAGTGTGCATTAAAAGCAAGACAAAATTTAGCGGAACATGTCTTTAGTCAGCAATCTCATGATACATCGCCAGCTTTATGATACTAAGCTTTATGGTGATTGCCACGAAATTAAAGATATTCAGATTTTTCAATTAATGATTTTTTTAAAGAAATATGAAAAAGTGGTAATTAATAAAGATGATATAACAAAACATTTGATTGTGATGACAATGCTTCAATCATTAATCAACTAATGGATGGAGAAATCTGATGTATGTTTGGTTTTAAGTTTAGGAAATACTATGAATAGTGAAGAAAGTGACAGATAGGTGCTTGAGAGTGAAAACATTTTTATTG